GCGAAAATGTTTGTTTTGCAAGTGCGACTTCCGAAACCGCTACTTTCCTATGTTGCAAAATAGTTTTGTTTCGTATGTCAACTTGCGAAATGCTAAATTTCGGAAGTGCCTTTTGCGAAATGAACATCGGCGATTTTAAATGTTTTGTAACATTCGGTACGAAAAAATGTAATTCCGCGTTCTCAATCTCCTTACGAAAGAATGTTGTTTTTCCGAAATTGCACGAAATCCTCCGGTTAACAACCCTAGTAATAGCTAATATTTTTACCTGCGATTTTATATAATATTTTTTTATTTATTTATTTTTATTTATCTTCATAAAGCGGTTGATAAGCACAATCACTTGTATTACTAAAAAACTTTAACGAGCGTTTTGAATAGATTTTTAATGTTTAAAAGGAATTTTATTTCCAGTAAAATAAAATAAAATAAAATGTTAGAATAAAAATCTTATAGGTATAAAAGACTAGGTATAAAATTTGCATATTGAACAATATTTTAATAAAAGGTGCGCTAAAATAAAAAAAAGAAAAACATTACATGGTTAAATATGAGAATTTAGTTTTTATTTTATTTTTTATGTTTATTGAGCCTTTTTCAGGGTGTTTGTGGAAATTCGCTTTACATCGGTAGAAACCGGGTAACAAAACCAGGTTATATAAAACTATTGTTTTATTTTTCAGCAGCTGTTCTTGAGCACGCTTTGTTGAGTTTTGGTAACTTTTATCAAAAAAGCGATTGTTATTATTTAAGTAATTTTTTTTGAGTTAATTTTACAAAAATTTTAATAACTGTACTTTTTTATTGAATCAAGTAGAATACGTTTTAATATTATTCCTTTAATTATTTTTTATTTGCGCTTACAATTTTTAAAAATGTTTCCTCGAAATTACTCTTAAATACTTTAAATACGTCTAACAGTTAATAAATATTTTTAAATCTATGGAATAATTTTAAAACCTAACAAACCCCCGTAAAATAATTAAGTTAAAAATCTAAAACTAAAAGAAAGTATTTTTGTTCAATTTTATCAACAACTTTGATATTGCTGAATAATTTTATTAAAATGTTAGCTTAAAAAGATTTAAACTTTTTTTTTAATCTGAATTTTTTCTATTTGTAAATAATAAGCATATTTATTTTTTTTGTATTTCAAACTTTTATATCAACTGCGTGTGATTTTTAAAATACTTTATTAAATGGTAAAATAATTGTAAATTACTTCATTAAAATTCCGCTCAAAAATATCTTTAAATATACTCAAACAAAAAATTTTTTGCTCGACATAAATAACTCTAGCTACACGCAAAATTGCTCTTGGACGACGTAAAATTCACATCGCCCAATGCTTTATCGCGAGGCCTGATATATATATATATATATATATATATATATATATATATATATATATATATATATATATATATATATGTATATATATATGTATAATTTCGATATATATATATGTATAATGTATATATGATATATATATATATATATATATATATATATATATATATATATATATATATATATATATATATATATGTATGTATAATTTCGATAGCTCTAGCCACGTTCATTTTTTTATCTAATATAATTGATGCCGTATTAACTGTGAAAATACAAGTTTTGTGCAAAAAAAAGACATTTCTTATGTTTTGCAGCAATTCATTGAAATATAAAATTTAAGACCCTGGATATTTCAAAAATGGAGGTTGATAGAGGCAAACGGTTTGCATAATTGCAATCAGCACACTAAAATTGACAAAAATCGATTATTGTATACCAAGATATCCGCCAAAATATTTTTTTTGCTGTACAGTGTTATTAGAAAAATTATCAGAATGATACTGGGTCATATGAGGAAAAGAAATAAGAGATGTAGTAGCAAAATGCAACAAATGTAAATTAAGGTGTAAACCTGTTCAACAGTTGATGGTCCCTTTACCAGCAATACTTTAAAAAACCACTACATGCGTTTGGTAGAATTGGGTATCGATTTTGCTGGTCCGTTTCTTACTATGCAAGGTAGAGGGAAGATAGGACAAAAGAGATACTTATACTTGTGTACCTGTTTACTATCATGTGCAGTACATCTTGTGATGGCTTATAGTCTTGTTACAAATTCATTCCTCAATGCCTTTTATCAAATGGTGAATAGAAGAGGATTACAATTGGAAGTTTTTAGAATTAACGAAGTCTTTGAAGGTAAAGATGGATGTGTAAGAGTTGTGAGTTAAAATTGGCAAAAAAGAATTTATACGACTAATTAAGAGATTGTGTCTTCTTGAGTTAGACAATTAAAAATGTTTGATAGACTGAAGTCATTCAAAGAGAGAGAGACTGATTGGAAGAAAATGGAATCACTTTACAGAAAAACAACATTCCAATACCATGATAGCTATAACCAGTAAATATCGCCAATATGGCTATAACAAACTAAATAATAATTATATGGTGACTATTCAAACAATAGTGTTTACTAAATGTTTTTTGTTATTGAATGAAATTTTTGTATAAGTAGAGTTTTATTGTTGTTGTTTTTTAGATACAAAAATATAGAAATAATTGATATAGTTAAGGTAAATACGGTTAAGATCTTAAAAATATAAATTTATAATATATATTCGGTATTGATTGTGATTGCCATCGGATCACCTTGTATAACCCTAAAACTTGTTAAACACATCCATCACAATTTTTTTTTTGTTATTGACATAAAGCAATGACAAAAAAATAACAAAGTAATTTTTAACTCTGAAATATTTGAAGAAAAATTTTTTTTGTAGGATTATCAACTATTACCTACTAAATGCTTTTGTTTTATGAACTTTATACCTAACCAAAAACTACACAACCTTTGTGTAGTTTTATGAACTTTATATAAACTACACAACCTTTGTGTAGTTTCATAACATCATAGTTTCAAGGAAAATATATAGAACTACAGTCATTTAAAGTTATTACATCTCCATGCAAGCATTTTTTTTTCTTCTTTCGTAAAGCTTTGAATAACTCTTTTGCCAACCATTTGAGTAAACAAAGTTTTTATGACAATCAAGATTTATTAAAAAAAGGTTTATTAAAACTACATTTTTTGTATACATATTTTGTACTTTATATAAACTACACAGCCTTTGTGTAGTTTTATGAACTTTATATAAACTACACAACCTTTGTGTAGTTTTATGAACTTTATATAAATTACACAACCTTTGTGTATTTTCATAACATCATAGTTTCAAGGAACATTTTTTCATGATTAAAATATATAGAACTACAGTCATTTAAAGTTATTACATCTCCATGCAATCATTTTTTTTCTTCTTTCGTAAAGCTTTGAATAACTCTTTTGCCAACCATTTGAATAAACAAAGTTTTATGGCAATCAAGGTCATTTCATTTATCAAAATTAATGAAATGTATTTGCATCATACATATTCAATAACTTAAAATAAAAATTGCATCATCATAAAATGAAGTAATACTTGGCCACTATTTTTTTTTTAAATAATTAACTTTAATTAAGTTATTTTTATTTGCTTTATTAATATTGAAATTTTTTCTTTAAAATTTTTTTTTTTTTTAAACTTTGAAGTCCAAGACAGCCAAAAACAATTATTTTTGTAAAATAAATTTTTATTTTTTTGAAAGTTAAGGTAGATTATTGCCTTCAGATTGATTTTTAGGTATTTAAGATAATTGGTTTTTTATTTATATGGATTTAAAAATGAGGCTTTTTTTGAAAAAGACAATAAATTGCTCAAAGTAGGCTTTACATTAACTTTTCAAAGTACATTAACTTTTCAAACTGCTGTAGTTTTAGAATGCTTCAAGATGATGAGTTGAAATTTTAGGTAAATCTTTTTTTCTTTAATATCTTTAAGGGATCTTAGTTTCAGGAAAATCTGAGATGGTCACCCTGTAAAGGTTGGCTCATTTAATATGGAATGACCCTTTTTATTTCAGGTAACTTTAAAGGTAACACAAGGTTCCATCTTTGCTCCTGTATTGTTTCTTATCTACTATAACAATCTTCATGAAAACTTACATCTAAAGTGGATCTATTTGCTGACAACTCAACTTTATACTCTTGTCTTGACAAAACATCTTCGCTTTTTGGTTAAAACTTATTTATTTACTGCAAAAAAATATTCTAGTATTGTCGGCATATAGACGAATAACAACACTTACCCTCAGACAAATTCTAAAAGCACATTTTAAATGTAATTAGACCTGTGTTATTTGCCAAGCTTGAGCCACTCTCCTATTGTTGTAAGGTTGCATTTTTTTCATTTTTCTACAAATGCTATCATGGTCAATGCTCAAATGAGCTATTGTTACTATGACAATAAACCAAAACTCATTCTTACTTGGCTTCTTGATCCACAAGTTGAATCTTTTTGCTGTATCTGTATTTATGCTATAAAAACTTTTGTATGCTGTATGTATGCTGTATTCACGCTATAAAAACTTTTATTAATCCAGTTTTTTTCCTTGCACATCAAAAAACCTTATAACATTTACTCATATTCATGTTTACCTTATTTATGAAACCTACAACTTTTTAACTCTTCACTTAACCATTTCCTAGTATTTTAATCTATCCTCTATTTTGAAGTAAATCATAACTTAATAGTGGTTGCTTGCAATTTTTTTAGAAGTAAATTAGAGTTTAAAAATATATAAATATTTAAAAATATATAAAAAAATTTATAATACAAAAAATATTATAAATTTTTTTTCAAACCCTGGCTATCAACCTCTACTAAATTATAAAATTTTACCAGGAACGAGACTGAGTTTACAAAAAATCTTTTTTTTAGCCAGGGACGGGGCCGGAGATGGGGCTCCAGTCACTTCCTAATACATAAATAAATATTATGAAGATATAGCATTTAACTTAATAGATATGTGTCATTTAACAGTTTTTTTTAAACATTTTGATTAGTTGTAAAATTGCTCAAACAATTTGTGCTATATTTTTCTATTTTTAGATAGTTTATGTGCAAGAAGATGTATTTGTACACACTACACAAGGCACTTCCACATTTTATGATAATATTGTTAGAGGGAAATTGACAATTGTTGTAAAGGTAAATAAAAAACCCTGTTTGAATTCCAGGTTTATTCAAGTAGTTTAACATTATAATTAAAGTCATTATATTCAAATATTATGACACTTCTTTAATTCACACTAGTGCAAACAATTAAAATTCTATTATTATGACACTGCTTTAATTCACACTAGTGCAAAAAAAAATTCCAAAAAATGTGCATCAGTAACTGACATTTTAATAATGTAACTACATTATTAAAAATACTATACCAGGGTGTTTACTAGGAATAAATTCGATACAGCATTTTGACGAAATTGGATATTTGTCAAAATATTTCCCAATCATCCGTCCTCCTCCTCCTTTCTTTTCTTTCTTTTTCTACTTCACTTCAGCGCTGCATTCATTGATTTGACAGCAAAATACAATCTGTAATGTTTATTTAAAATTAAAAGTGGTTTCACAATGATACAGCAAATTAAGCTCCGATTTCCAAAGATTTATTAGGAATTATATATTTTTATATCATAAAATAATTAGCGTATATTAATTAATAATTATTATAATTAATATATTTGATTTATTTGTAATTCTAATATATCGCTGTCGCTTTCATTTTAAGAGTTTTTTTTTGCCCACTTTATAAAGAGGGCGTTAAAACAGGTATTTTTTTAATGCCCACTTTTTTACTGGTGGGCCTTAAAAGGGTGATTTTTAAAGTAATATAGTGGTTTATGTTCAATGAAAGTCTCCGCAGAAGAAAGCCAATGATCTACTTTTAATTATTATGTAAATTCTGCTCGACGTCCTTTATGGACGAACCATTACACCATCATGTAATAAATTGTGTCATCAAAAGAAATGTTTTAAAAATAGAAAAATAAAATAAGGATTAGAAAATAGTAAACATGAGCTCATAAATTTAAAATTTCACATTTTATAAATATTAATTTTCTCTATACATAAATCTCATAGCGAAATAAAGTTACAATTACAAGGTCTGAGCAAAAACAACAACAAAAGTTATTTAATCACAAAAGAATATCGCAAGGGATTGCACAGTATCGTGGCAAAGAAAAATACCAACATTTATTTTTTTATTCTTAGTTGTAAAATGTTATTATGACTATGGTTCATTCAAACATTTTTATAGTTTTAAATTCAAACAAGCAGTGAATATAGTTTTCTTGTTTTTTAAATTTCTAGTACTAGTTTGTTGTAATAAAAAAATAGTACCAGTTTGTTATAATCATAAATCATTTTTTGTATTTAACTTAAAATTCAGAAAAGGTCTTTTTAAAAAGTTAGTAGAGAAATGATAGTAGATAAATAAAAAAAGATTTTAGTTGATGTAATTACCTAGTTCAGTAAAACAAGAGCTAAAAGACTTACCATAATATCCCTAATTGATCAAAGTTTTGAAAGTATCTGTTGTAAATGGCTTCTTGATATTTTTGTTGACAAAGCACATGTATTATTTAATGTAGGGTTTGCAGTAAGACTCAATAAGTTATTTATCTTTTCATCCAAAAAGAGTAAAACTTGTAAAGAAATAAAGTTCATTTTTCAAAATTTGCAAATAATTCTTTGTAATTCGGAAGAAATAAAGTACTATCTTTAAAAATAACAAATTTGTTTGGTTAAACCAATCAAATTTGTTATTTTTTAAATTGCACTTTATTTCTTGCTAACTTTTTTATATAATATTTGATGTTGTTGGAACGCATTACAAAGAATTATTTGATAATTTTGAAAAATGAGTTTTAGAAGCAAGTTGCTGAGAAAATCCCTAAAATCCCTTGGAAAATCCCAACTCTCAAGAAGTTTATTCCAAGAGACATTTTCACAGTTATGCAATCGCATAGTTATACTAATAACAGTGATTTTATTTCAAGTTTTACACAATAATCAATAAGAGTTTCTTATCTTATTTTTCTATTAGTTTTTAATAATAATTAATTTTCAATATTTTTTAGAGTTATTGTTAAATCTAATTTGGCAAACTTGATTTGGAAAATGAGATTTTTTCACATTTAAATTGGGAGTTTTAACTTTTTTTGATGGGGCCCTACAGGGCTAGTTTACACCCTGCATACCTTGTACAGTTATAACCACTCTTTCACAGGAAGATGTGCGATTGCATCTCTTTATATAGCAAATTATATTTTGTTAAGTGAAATAGATTACATCTAAACTTTTAACAAATGTTTTTATATTAGCGAAACACTTTTAAATAAATTAACAATTTATTTAAAAGTGATAATATTAATGATAATTTTTTTTTTTAAAGTATAATTGATAATTGTATGTTTTTTTAATTTATAATATATAAATTGTTTAAGTGTGCATTTTTTATAATGAATGTTATTAAAAAATAAAAAATTGTGAAAAATCTAAATAAATCACATACCATACAAAAAAATTAGAAAATTATTAAAATGTACCAAAAAGGAAACTATTCAAATCTTAATATAGCATTCAACAGCATCAACTGGTTTCAACTATTCAGTAATCAAGACATCAACTATTCAGTAATCAAGACATCAACTATTCAGTAATCAAGACATCAACTATTCAGTAATCAAGACATCAACTATTCAGTAATCAAGACATCAACTATTCAGTAATCAAGACATCAACTATTCAGTAATCAAGACATCAACTATTCAGTAATCAAGACATCAACTATTCAGTAATCAAGACATCAACTATTCAGTAATCAAGACATCAACTATTCAGTAATCAAGACATCAACTATTCAGTAATCAAGACATCAACTATTCAGTAATCAAGACATCAACTATTCAGTAATCAAGACATCAACTATTCAGTAATCAAGACATCAACTATTCAGTAATCAAGACATCAACTATTCAGTAATCAAGACATCAACTATTCAGTAATCAAGACATCAACTATTCAGTAATCAAGACATCAACTATTCAGTAATCAAGACATCAACTATTCAGTAATCAAGACATCAACTATTCAGTAATCAAGACATCAACTATTCAGTAATCAAGACATCAACTATTCAGTAATCAAGACATCAACTATTCAGTAATCAAGACATCAACTATTCAGTAATCAAGACATCAACTATTCAGTAATCAAGACATCAACTATTCAGTAATCAAGACATCAACTATTCAGTAATCAAGACATCAACTATTCAGTAATCAAGACATCAACTATTCAGTAATCAAGACATCAACTATTCAGTAATCAAGACATCAACTATTCAGTAATCAAGACATCAACTATTCAGTAATCAAGACATCAACTATTCAGTAATCAAGACATCAATGAAATGAATAACAGTCTACTAAAAATTTATAAATATTCAATATACCAAAAATCTGTATTAATAGTAATAAAATTATAAAAAAAATTCTATCAAATGGCACCATAATGATATCAAAAAGGCAGCTAATCAAAAAAAAAAATTATATTTCCTTATGAAATCTGCTTCAAAATCAGCTGACCATAAAAAACAACTTTCAACTGATAACAATAGAAAAGCAAGAGAATTGAAAAAATTAGTTAAAAATGCCCATATTAAACTTTTTTTTAATTAAATATATATTTGTATAGTAATTTTGGGTTTAATTTACATTTATTGATTATTGAAAAATCAATAATCAATAAATGTAAATTAAACCCAAAATTACTATACAAATATATAAATAATCAAAAATCATATAAAAATAAAATTATCTCATTAATCCATGCTGATGCATAAATTTAACATCAAACATAAAAATAGCTAACTGTCTAAATAAACAATTTTACGAAGCATTCACCAAACCAACTGATAAAGAAAATGATTTAACAATAGGTTTAACACCTAGAACAATTAAAAAATATACTTTGAATCCATCTGTTCTATTCTCACCATTAAATATTTAAACAAAACTTGACTTATTAGATGAAAACAAAGTTGGAATCGATGATATTTCTCCTTATATTTTAAAAAACTGCAATTCTGCTCTTAGCCTGCCACTTAGTTTATTATTTATCAAAGCATACAACACTGGAACTACACCACAACAATGGAAACAAATAAATACCACACCGATTCCAAAAAAAGGGGAAAAAAATGATCTAACAAATTATCAACCTATCTCATCTTCATCAGTTATAAGTAAAATAATGCAAAAACTAATAAAAGATGACATAACAAGTTACTTAAATCTACGTAACTTGATAGCTAAACAACATGGATTCACAACAGGTAAATCAGTAATCACAAATTACTTGAATCAATAGATGTAATAACCGATGCTTTAAACAGTGGATTCTATGCTTTAGTAGTTTACCTTGACTTTGCTAAAGCTTTTGATACAGTAGATTATAAACTACTAATTGCTAAAATAAAAACTTATGGTTTTGACAAAAAAATTTGAATTGGTTACACAACTCTCTCTCAAACAGGTAACAAAGGGTTGTAATTAATAATGAAGTATCTATATCGCTCCCAGTATTAAGTGGTGTACTACAAGGCGAAGTTTTATCTCCACTTCTATTTAACCTATTTATTAATGACATGCCTGAACTAGTTCACAATACCTGCAAGCTATTTGCTGATGATAGTAAGTTAATTGCTGTAATCAAAAACCAGAAAGATCATGAAATATTACTAGATGATCTTAATAAAATACTTGAATGGACAAAAAATTGGAGCATGAAACTAAATTATGAAAAATGTAAAATTATGAAAGTTTACAGTACCAAATTAAAAAAGTTAATTGACCAAATAAATCAAGTTGTCCCACTATATATAACAACCCACGATGGAACAATCATCAAATTAAATGAAACAACACAGGAATGTGACCTAGGTATCAACATAAGCAATAATCTGAAATGGAAAGACCACATCACAACAATAACCAATAAAGCTTACTCAAAACTAGGTACACTAAAGAGAACATTTAAAGGGATCCCAAACTCCCAACATATGTTGTGTTCATATTAAAGATAATGTTAAAAAAAAAAGTTTGAACCAAGTTTTTTTGATTAAAAATAAATAATGAATG